CTACGTGTGCTGTGTTGGGCTAAACCGAGACTTGTCATTTGCACTTATATATTGTTGCTCTTTTGTTAGTTTTGACTGCTTTTATTGTCCTCATTTGTAAGTCGCTTTGGATAAAAGTGTCTGCTAAATGACTAAAAATAAATAAATAAATAAATATTTTTTGTGTAAACATTTTTTCAGGATTCTCTGATGAATAGAAAGAAGAACATTGTTTATTTGAAATAGAAATCTTCTGTAACACTATAAATGTCTTTCTTGTCACTTTAGATAAATTTAATGCATCTTCTCTAAATAAAAGTATTATTTTCTATTAGAAAAAAATGTTCCTGACTCCAAACTTTTGAGAGGTGGTATATATGCTGTCTAAATGTGAGAGCAAAGAAGAGCTGTTTAACAGATGACCTCAAACACAACGAATGAAAGAAAGATATAGAGAGAGAGTAAAAGCTTTGCTGATGAAAACAATCATGGAAGAGAGTAAGATAACTATGATGGCAAAGCTAAAAGGTCAACCTTAAGCACAAATACAACATGACCATGAAAGTTGGCTGGTTAGTGTAAATCTTGCAAATAAGGACAGGTTAAATACATCAAAAGAGCAAAAACTTAAAAGCACTGCTTCCTCCAAAAGCACAGTACAAATCTGTACTTCATTTACTGTAGCAACTGAAAAATTAAAGATGGCACTTTCCCAGACACTCCTATCAAGCATCAGTATGTGGTGTGTGTTCACTCACAGTGGACTGGGGTCTGCTGATGTCCTCAGGATCCAATGAAATGACATCCAGGGGTGGGGCGAGGGCGGGGTCACTGCTGCTTCGCACCAATAGAGGAGTGGCTGATGGGGGAAAAGTCAAAGGACACAGTTATACATCTAAAACACAATCATTCTGCATTTTAAAACCTATGTAAAACAATAGATGGAATGGAATGTAAAACAATGATTTAGACATTGAAAAGTCACTGTAGCAATACCATCATACATGACATTATCATATAGCACTAAAAATTATTTTAGCACCATTGAGATACTATCATAGGTTTCGTTAATATTTTGAATTAGATTGTATTCATATTTTCCATTTTAAAATTGTGTTTTCATCATTTTATTAGCCTTTTTAAATGTCTTTTTTTTTATTAAGATTAAGTTTTAGTTTGTTATTTTAATACTTCAAATTGAAGTAAATGAAAACGAGAAATGTTGCCTTTATGCCTTGGCATAAATAATATTTTTTTATATAATGTTTTATATAATAACACACACACACACATATATATATATATATATGCACATTCACTTTTTTTTTTTTGTAAAGATAAGACTAGTCCATTTGATCTTGGCTCCATTTTAAGAATTAATTTTAATGTAGCATAGTTAATAAAATGTGAATTTTGTAGCATTTTATTTACTTATTTATCTATGCATTCCTTCATTTGTTCATTTTGAACTTCTGTATAAAATAAGTACATTTGAGCAGTTACTTTTATGTCTCATTTTGCATTATTTATTTTGATCTTTTCAGACAGACAAGTGCTGTTACACTAGTTGAACATCACCAAGAGTGTTTTCCTTTTCAGGCACACAATGGATCATAATAAAAATCACACTGAACTCACCACATGAAAGCACAACAATACAGCCTCACGCAACAAAAACACAAAGACATCTGACTGAGTCAGAGCAGCTTTCCGCACACACACACACTCATTAGTCCCGCCAAACCATGTCTCCCATCACACACATTTGTCTGGTTTCCAAAAGAGGGACAAAAGCCAAAGTGCTGGAGCCATCACTAGACTCAGCAGAAACAGCTACGGGAACAGGATGCTAGGACCATCAAAATCAGCTCAGTCTTTTACAGGAACAAAATAAAACCGCGGAAAAATGCAATGAGGGAGTTTTATATCAGGACCGTACAATAGAATGTCCTTGGCCTCCATACTGAAGAGGATCTCCAAGACCTTCTCAGATAAAGCCGGAGACACTGTGACATCTCAAGGATCTGAAGTACACAACTGTGTGGAGCGCTGGCATGGTGGCAAGGTCACTGCTGGTGAAACGGTTAAAGGAGCCAAATCACGAGAAACAGGGTTTTCTATCACAAGGAAAAAGATGCTATGTATCATCTATATATACGAAGCTAAGAAATATGGGAAATATATAAGCAGCAAAAATGACTAATTCAGCAACAGTAACCACACTAATGAGCATATGACCGTCCTACATTTACATATTAACAACTATGCAGTATTGAGCAATTTCATCCACCATAATGAACGACAATGTATACTATGTCATTGAAAGGTTAGCCATTTACACTAGGATGTTTTTTTAATCACATTGTATGTCAATGACCTATTTGTGTACAAGTGCTCTTAAAAAATATAAGCAAAATTTCTGCCAATTTCACAACAGGTCTGTACACACAAATTCTTCCCCCCATTCTTTATTAGTTGCATTTAGCCATTTTTAATAAATACTACTCTGAATGCAATAAATAAATAAACAGTCAAAATTAAAAGGTTATTGCTTCCATAAACTGCAAGAAACCTGTAGTGCTAAATATGTTTTTAGAGTAGTAACAGGGTGTACAAGTTTACATATTAAGGTTTTAGAACAGTGAAAAGTGCTCTTTCTTCTTTTTTAATCAACAAGGATGCAATAAATTGCATTTGCAGTAAAGTGGCAGTAAAGACACTCATAATGTTCAAAAGAAAATTTAAAAGAATGTTCAATAGATGCTGTTCTTTTGAACTTTATATTTAACATATCCTGAAAAATGTATCAGTTTGCACAAAGACATAAAGCTTCACAACTGTTTGCAGCATTGATAATAATAATAATAATAATAATAATAATAATAATAATAATAATAATAATAATAATAATAATAATAATAATAATAATAATAATAATAATAATAATAATAATAATAATAATAATAATAATAATAATAATAATAATAATAATAATAATAATAATAATAATAATAATAATAATAATAATAATAATAATAATAATAATAATAATAATAATAATAATAATAATAATAATAATAATAATAATAATAATAATAATAATAAGTGTTTCTTGAGCACCAAATCAGCATATTACAATGATTTCTGAAGGATCATGTGACACTGAAGACTGGAGCAATTATGCTGAAAATTCAGCTTTGCATTACAACAATAAATTACATTTTAAAATATATTCATATAGTAAACCAATATTTTAAATTATAAAAAATTAACAACAAAAAAAAAAACTTAACACTTTACTATGTGCTGTATATATACATATGTTTTAAAATACAGTACAGTGTAGATTTAAAGTAGCTTCCATAACGCTGATGAGAACTAGTTATCTTGCATGAACTGGTGAAAGCGACAGAACATAATACTGAGGACTTCTGCCAGCCTCAATTAACAGAAAGAGCAAGTCTGCCCCTGAAAAGATACAGAAAAAAAGCACAGAGACCAAAAAACTTTCAAGCACAGTGCTTGAAAAAAGTTACCATTTTCCCTTGTCAAACAGACACTTCCATCAGCAAAGACTGCTCCTATCCTTCAGTCTGCTACTAGAAACCATCAAAAAGGCCTTTCGGTATGATCACACTAGCATAGAAACTCTGATTCAGGTGAAGTCGCTGTGTCCCGGGAGTCATTTTAACAAGGTACTGGAACCAAAAGCAAGCTTTAACACGTCTGCTACAGTAGCTACTTCATTAGGAAGGCATTGATATTACTTTTTGAGAACTCACCAGGGCCATCTTAAAATGTAACTATTGAACTGTATTTCTCTGCATGTCAATGCTGATGTGCATATGAGACAAATAAGGCTAATGAAAGAGACCTAAACAGAAACCCAGACTCTTTTCAGGCCTGAGTTCATTTATGTGACAAAGTTTAGATACATGTTCATCTTTTGAGTGGGCATACATCCTGGGTTTAGTAACTATTATAACTTGACATAAACATCATATTTTAAGAGATTTGTTTGCGTCCTGTGTGTAAGCCACCTTAGAGCAACTCCTAAACCATAACCTTCAATTCCATCGTTTATCTACACCATAAGACCTTCAACATTAGCCGCTAACTACACCCTGAAGACCTCACGAAGGACGCTCACAATAAGAAAGCTCTCAGACCTTCGTGATGTTTATGAATTCTCATAAAGGAGTGTTACATCTGTGCAGTGTCTGGAGTTTCCCTCAACTCCAATCAATCTTCTCCAACCTGCAGAACCTGGTGGAGCTTGCCACTGAACTGCAGGCTCAAGGTTAATCGTCAAGAGGAACGTTCGTGCAAACTAATTTTAGGCATTCATTTCGGTTTTACGCCCCTCGAAACAACAAAGGTAAGAATCTGTGGGAAATCTGTAAAGACCAGTGCGATTCAAGGTAAAACCTTTAATTACTGGCTATTCTGATGCAGGAGTGGAGCAGCCCTTCTAGTGGTTTCATCTTTCAGGAAAAGCACGACAGTCGGAGTGTGCTATGAACGTCTATTCAGCTGAATAAATAACAGAGGCAATCCCACAATATGAATAATCAGCCTGAAACTAAAGAGAATTTGAGTATGAAAATATTAAAGTATTAATAGACTAAAGGTTTGACATTCACAGACCTGAAGTTACATTCAAATGTTTTCATAAGAACTGTTTGCCTTTTATAACAAAAAATAAATAAATGAAATAAAATTATGCAGTAATGGTTTTATTAGTTATGTGAAGGTAAATAATCACAATTTCATCAATACTTACATCTGATTTTAAATTGACACTGCTTTTAATAATTAGTTTTCCTAACAAAAGTTTTATATTTAAAATTGAGTAGAATCAGAAGTTACAGTACTGTAAATATTTTTGTTAAATAATACAAATGTTTTTTTTAGAATTTAGAATAGAATTTTGATTTGCCAAAAAATAACTTCAAATTAAATAAAACAAATCAAATAAAAAATTGTTTAAAAAATGTAAAAGTTGACTTTCAGGAAAATCAGTAGAACTACACATGGATGGTTTAGTAATAAAATAGTTTTACGAGTTAATAACTAAAACTTTAAAAGATTATTAATATTGTAATGTTTTTAATATTAAAACATTAATAGCTAATTCTACCTTTAAATTTGCAATGTTTTTATCAATACAGTTGTTTTACTTCAAACAATGTACGACTAAAAATTTAAAGTACAATCATGAGTTAATGTAATATGTGTTTGTGTGTGTGTGTGTGTGTGTTTGCTTTCCAAAATAACGTAAAATTAATCAAATAAATAAGAATTAAAAATAAAAAGCAATAAACATGAAACTTGACTTCCAAAAACAACAACAAAAATGAACAGCATGTGTTACATTCTTAGTAATGGCATTGTTTGCCTTTTCAAAAAAAAAAAAACAAAAAAAAAAAATCAATAACTAGAAATAATCTTAATTTTCGGCAGTTACAGAGATAAGAAAATGATGCATACACATCTGGCGCCTCTAGCATAGGGGCCAAGATTACGTGCAGAGGATCTATGGGAGAATTCAGAGTCTGGATTTCATCAACGCAATATATTTACGATGGAAATTCCCCATCCTGAATAATGTGCTGCGTTTGAATAGAGATACTTCTGTCAAATATGTTCTTGGCGTAAAAATCAACATAAAGGTCAAGTGAAAAGTCCCGAATTTAACTACACGCCTCAGATAGCTTCCCACTCAACTACAATCCCTAAGCAGTATAAAAATAATAAGAAAACTGCTCTCAAATCTGGGTTTAAACTTCTAGGATGAAGGACAGCATGGCGAATCCTCTTGACCTTTGACCCCTGAGTGGTCTGTCATGTGAAATGGGG